GTGCCTTGGCAGCCAATCAGAGCAGACTGGGCTCTGGTTTCAGACAGAGGGTGAAAAGAGGTGCTGCAGCACATGAGAGAAATAACGAGCTTTTTGAATATTAAAGCATGGAGAGAGACATGTCACAGTAAAGGCATCAGAATACAAATATAAACCTGGAAATGAGCACAATAGGGCCCCATTGATAAGTATTTTCATTTTTTTCAGCAATATCTTTTAAAACCATTATTTTTCTTCATTTGTTGCTTTTAATATAATGTTTTTTAGCTATACCGTCCACTGTTGGAACAAACTGCCAAAATAATCAAGATTTGCACTGACTGTAGCCAGTATATAAAAAACCTTGCTTGCTTTTATGTCCCTGACTGAAATGTCACTCTGTTTGATGTTTTGCACTGAAATTGCATTGAACTTAAAAACAAAACGTTTTAATTCAAACTCTTATATTCCACCTATCTATGTATTTTAAAGATTTATTTGGAAAAATAACATTAACGTACCTTTATTTCTGATATGTGTACTTTTCAAGCGTCATTATGTAAGGCGCCTGTTTACGAAATGAGATACATTTGCCTTGGCTATGTTTACTCGGTACCACCTTTCAATAAGGCACCCTCAAGGGTATACACTTCATAAATGTTTAATACAAAAAAACAATTCAATCATTATACATTTCAAGGTTAAGGATGTGATATGTACGCTGATTCAGGGCCTGTATTAAAAACTCCCTGTGTCAAAATAGTTTAAGGGTCTTTATCATTTCTGTGTTGCTGTTTGTTGGATATTTTGCAATTAAAGGATTAAACCAAATACTGCATAGTTCATAGGGTCAACAGCTTAATCCAGCAAGAAGGAGTATTTTTCATAATCTGCAAACCCAAAAACAACATAAATTAAACCTTACAAACACTATATTTTATAAGATTTCCAACTATTAAGCGCTGCATTTCTTTATGATAGAGTATGTGATAGGCTAAATCACTTTCTCCCCTTTCATGGGATAGCCTCCAGGCTGAATATCGAGGTCATCCACTAAGGCCAATAGTTTACATAACAGAGCATTATCTAATAATTAATAACTGGGGCAGCAGTTATGTGTGATTGGCTCTCTGGGGCTTTTCAACTTGATACTAAGTAAAAGCAACAGTCAAAGGTCATGTTGTGATTATGTCACCTCACATGACATTAGAATAAAAGAGAAGTAAAAACCTTGGAACTTGAAGTCCTCCAGGTGCACCCACAGGCACAGGTCCTCGTTCTCGCACTCGCAGCTCCACGGGTTCCCGCTGAGCCCCACGGAACGCAGGGCGGGCAGCGCGATCAGGGAGGTGATGTTCACCACCGTCAGGTTGTTGCGACTCACATCCAGCACCTGCAGGGCGGCGTTATCCACAAAGGCGTCCTGGTGGATCTCCGAGAGCGCCGGGTTGTCGGTCATCCTCAGCATCACCAGGCTCGCCAAGGGCCCGAACGTCCTGTCCTCGATCCGCACCAAGGTGTTGAAGGAGAGATCCAGGTAGGCTAGCTTCCGTAGATTCCCAAACGTGGACTCGGAGATCTCCGTGAGGGAGTTGTTGCTACAGTCCAGGTACACCAGATCCGAGAGGTAGTTGAGCGCGAGCGGCGGAAGCTCCACGATACGGTTGTTGGAGATGATGAGCTGCCGCGTGGACAGAGGCAAGTTGACAGGGAAGGTGGTCAGGTGCTGCCCTGCGCATTGAACCACCAGCTGGTCATCGCACACGCACCTGTCCGGGCAGCCCGGGGTGAGCACCGGGGATGTGATCCCCCCCACGGTGAGGAGGAGCAAAACTAAGAGCCGCAAGGGTTGCGCGCTTGGCTGCGGGGCAAGACGCATGACACCGCCGAGGGCTGCATCCACCCCGTCTGGAGAGAGTCAGGCGCGCTCACATTCTTCATTGATACATCCTTACCGATGTGTTCGTCTCAGGAATGATTCCCACAAAGGTCAATCCTTGAGGCAACCTCTGTGCGTAAATTGTCTCACTCCATCCTGTCAGTTGGATCCGGCGCGCATCCGATGTCTGGCAACTTGTCAACCACCAGCCTTCAAGCTGTTTCAAAGTTCATTAATTTATCAGGCTTCTTCCTTCACAACAATAACATTCAGACAGCGTAAACGCGCAAAGCGTCCTCCCGCGCTACGCTGCTCCACGCAATGATCACGGTCAG